CAAAAGTTTGCAATACCAGTCTCTGCCCTTGTGGGATGCCTGGGCAGCCCAGCCCAAAATAGCTAGGAAATGCAGGAAGTTAAGGCCACATTGGGAAGAATCACAGTGCTGCTAATGACATGCTGTGCTTATCTGGAACCGAGTGTCTTAGACACTTTAACCGAGGTCACATAGCTTTTTCCAAGGATGAGAAAACAGACACAGCATAGCAATGACAAGCCCAGGGAGGGAGGAAGAGCTGCCCAGTTGGGGAGGGCACAGAATGTGCTGCCTCCTCTGCCAGGGATTCCAGGGAATGTTCCATCCCCTGTGAGTCTCAGGGCTTCATATCCCATGAACTGCCTGTGTCTGAGAATATGGAGTCATTGGTAATATTCAGGAAGCCCTTAGGGGTTTTGGCCCAGAAACTCTTGGTAGGTGTGAGCTGGGAATTCCACGATGGGCGTGGCTTACAGTTCATTTAGGAGCCTGAGACAGAGACCTAGGGGCTCAGTCTTTCTGATTGGGTTTGACTTCTGACCTGTCATCACAGGGCTTATGAAATCTCCCCCACACTGCTGCTGGTTCTTGTTTTTTATCTATGTTGTTGTGTTGTTTTTTTTTTTTTTTTGGCCATCAGTCTTGTCCTAGGATTCACAGGGACTCTGACGCACAGGAAGGTATTTACTAGACTGAGAACATTCTGGTTCTGGTTGCTTGGGGGTCCCTATGGCCAAGGTGGAAGAAAAGCAAGTAGTCTCCAAAATCATTCCTTGCTTGCCAAGTTCTCCATCTTTCCTACTTACAATTTTAAAGCAGAAATGAAGTTGATGACCAAGGACGTTAGGATCTTGACGAGCTCTCTGTGTTGGTGACATGTTTTATTTCTTTTACAGAGTACTGGCTTGCATTCTTTGGGAGCTGGCCTGGTGACTCTTTGCCCATCTTCCTCTTGACTTAAGTTGTGGCCATAGTGGCACCACCGAAGATGTACTCAGACCTTGATTCCTGTTCTTTGGAATTTCTCGTGCCTGTGAGCCTCTGTCTCCCACTAAGATCTTGGAAAACCCCAGGCTCCCTTTGCTGCATTTAATACACTCTTCCCCCCCACCCCCCAGTTTTCTGCCTCCAGGAAAATGAGTAATCCCTTTTCTAACCTCTTGGGAGATGTGGGGACTCAACTCAAGAGGAGGGAAGGAAGAAGATTATACTTATAATAATGATAGTTATAATGAACATCACGGCACTTTCTATCTGCTCCGCCCACCCTTTTATTTATTTTTTTAATTTTATTTATTTATTTATTTATTTTTTCCTTTTTGTCTTTTTTCATGACCGGCAACGGATTGCAACCCTCAGTGTCACGCCCGTACCGGACCGGGACCAGCAATGGGATCGCAACCCTCAGTGTTGCACCCGCACCTCGCTCAGCCAGTGAGCGGCCGGTCTGTATGTGGGATCCGAACCCTTGGCGGGAGCATCGCCGCGCTCCCAAGCAGCACACTGTAGCAGTGCGCCACCGGGCCGGCCCCCACCCTTTTATTAATCATGTGAGAAACTACAGGTTCACAGTCGCTCATCCAAAATCCCTAAAACACAAAAAGCTCTGAGAACTTACTTTTTCCCTGAATTCGGCACAAACAAATTTGACAGAACAATACGACATGCACTGTTGAGACTGTCAATGGCCTTTATTTACGTCACTGCAGAATATTCGAGTGTGTGCTGAAGGGGGTGCTGCCGACTGGGGTTAGGTACTCTCTGTGATATTTACATCTTACCCTGAACACATCTGGCCTTGTTGGTTCCAGAGAAGAGATACTGGGCCTGTCTCTGCTTTGTAGAAAAGGAAACTAAGGCCCAGTGTGGTTGGGTAGCAACCCCAACCCGTGCCAGGGTAAGACACAGAGCTGGGACTTAACGCCTCCCACTGGCACGTGCCAACCAGAAGAGATGCTCCTTCGACTCTATTTCTAGAGTTTTGCGCTGTGTTGAGCCACTGAGTTCATGTCCTGGAGTTATGTTCAAGATAACTGTCTTTTGGTTCTTCCACACCAAAGCCATCTTGAGTGCAAAAGAACAAATCTTCCACCTTCTGCATCATTTTGTCTTCCGAGCTGTGTGCCCAGCTTTGTGAAATCTGGTATTGGTCCAGAACGTCAGTAAGTCTGAGGC